GGGCTTTGTGTGGGCATCTACGTGCTGAGCTAGGCCTTGAAGCCTGAATTGCCCGATCCACCCACCCATGGCTTTTGCTGGCGTCCGGTATTGTCATTGGATGGGTTCTCGCTGTTTGTTTTTCCCACACAGCTGCTTTCACTCTACCTTTCCCACTTTCCTCCTGCATGAATTATTTCTCAGCAGCTTTCACGATCTGGAGAGATGAGTTGGGCATTGGGAGATTGTTTGAAGCTTCTGGGATTCCTCTTACTACACCCGCAGGGGCCTCCATGACTATAGCTGCAAGAAGTGCAATAGTCTATTTGGCGAACAGAGGATTTGCTTTCCGTGCATTGAATTTTTAACCACTAGCATCCTTGAATGAAGCTGTCTAGATTTTGCAGGTTTATGGACGGCTGACTGGCCATTTGACTTTTTCACTTCTGAGCTGTCAGCCACTATGGCCCAAAATGACAGAAGTGAAACGAACAGACGCTCGCAGAGCCGGGAGCGTGCACACCAGAGAGGGCTCACAAAAACTCCAGCCTCTGTCTGTTTCGTCCTTTACTACCAGAGCCAGAATCGCTTAAAAGATTGGACTGTGCTTTGCATGCATCACCGTATCTAGTCTTTATTCCTGAACATTTGTGCTATTAAAAACCTTGGAATATAAGCTTTCATTCCAAAAGCTGTTGTTCTGGATCTCTGGGAATAATCATTTCTACATAAAGACTGTTTGCAAACAAGTTGAAAAGTTTGAAAATACATCAAGTTATATGTGGCTACAAGGTGTCACCTGTCAAAGAACTGTAAAGAGAAAATGTTAAACACAATGCTCGAAATGCAAGTAAGCATATATTAAAACTATTTGAGATCAAGTTAAAACAAACTATGTAAAGCATAACGGCTCTTTTTTTACAACCAAAAACAACAAATGAATGCATTTGTGTTTTAAAAGCTAGTTTGCGATTGATATTTAAAATGCCTGATTAAACAACCAATAAAAAAGGCTCAATCCAATTACAAACAGAGTCAAGCAAAAAAACGGCGTTCAATTATGTGCTCTGCAGTTTCTATATGTTGGTATTGTTGTTTAACAATACTGCATAGCCCTATGTCTCCAAAGTGGCTGAGGTCAGGCCATGGGGTCTGCAGTTTTTGTATTTTGGTATTTGGGTGTTGCAAGGAAAACCAAAATACCAAAAACTGTTTTGAATGTATGTGTATTGGAACAAAAAACAAAACACTACAAAGGTGAGCAGAGAGAGAGAGAGAGAGAGAAAAAAAAATCAGCACAAAACACTGTAAAATACAGTGTTTTCACCCAAAGGTAGGTACCCGGGGGTACCGTGTATATGGGAGTTGATCTAAATTCCTTTATCCGGCATCCGTCATTTTCGCCAAAAAAAATTTACTTTCGCCAAACTTTCGCCTTCCTGCGTTTTATCTTTCGCCGAAGTACGTTGTATTTATGTGTGCCATGTATGTTGTGTTTTGTTCACGTCAATGGCTTCTTCTTTACTGGCAAACACAAAATAGAAACTTCACTGTTTGTCAGCATGTGTCTTCTACTTAACTGTTGACACCCTGTACGTCTCTTGTTTCTCCTGGGTGTCAGCAAGAATCAAAATTGCAAGAATCACTGTAGTAGCCGGTCACTCAAACTTACTCATAATGGGCTGGGGGTCAGATGTGGCAGGGTGAACTTTCGCCAATCTTGAGCTGAACTTTCGCCAAACTTTCGCCTTTTGCGGGGTAAAGTTTTGTGGCAAAGCCACCCCCCAAAGCAGGAGCAGGAATAGTAGTAGTAGTAGTAGTATAGTAGTAGTATAGTAGTAGTATAGTAGTAGTATAGTAGTAGTATAGTAGTAGTATAGTAGTAGTATAGTAGTAGTATAGTAGTAGTA